TGAAATAATGATATTATGCAATACCTGATATCACTAAAAAATAATTCTTTCATAGTCTTAAAATTAACGACCACTCCATGTCATGATCCAACCTAGGGTTTGAAATTAACCAACGTGAGTACAAATGATCAGATAGCGGAAATTAAATTTTTTTATATTCATTCTCTATAACTAACATTTTAATAATGAAAAAGTCACCATATAAAATAAATTAAAATAACAATTAAATTTACCACATTTGTGATTATCCGCTTCCATATACATTTACTCTTCTATTGCTTATCTTTTAATTGATTAATTAAAATTGAAATATTAATTTAAATAATATTGAGTTAATCATAATAGTGAATACTCATACTTCTAAATTATAGCAACACAATGAAAAAAAAAATAATGTGCATGACAGTTAAAATTTATATAAATTAATATAGGAGTATTTAAATATTTGCACTGTCTAATATGTTAATTCAAGATAATTCTGAATATTCACTATGTTTTACTTTATCATTTATATATCAATATTTTTTACAACCGTCACAACAACTCTATCTAACATTATATCAATGAAGGTACTTCAATGTCAATATTATTTTTCATTTACATGCATGAGTATATTAGCGTTACCTTGCCATTATCATAAAAGAGTGCGCTCCATCATATTTAATCATGCACATGCAAACATACCATAACAATCACTATAATATAATGATCATTTCATTCTAATTTGTATACCAACTATATATTTATATAATATTTAATACCTATGATAATTTAAACAATATTGAGTACACATGTTTCTATAATATAAATAAAAGTTCAATAGAACCATAAATCTCGGACAAGCAGTGATATAAATATTACTAGTAACTGCAAGAGTAAATACATTTAGTCAAGAAGTAAAATATTACTATAACATAAGAGCACAAGTCCTCACTTCAATATTGATGACTCTCATACCATTTGTTCTCCCAACCCATCTTCAATGAAAATGTCTAATCAAACGTATAAGAGATTATTGTTATTTTATAATCATACTATTAGAAAACAAGTTGCCTTTATTTTATCATTGATGTGTTATTTAAATCATTATTTTTTTTAAATCATATAATATATTTCTTCAAATCATCTTATTATTAGTTACTATTAATTTTATTCTATAATTCTTATTAATATTTATAATTCTATCATTTTAAAATTTTTTAATAATTTTTTAAATAATATGATAATTAACCTTATTTAATTTTAATTATTAAGTCATTAACATTTTAATTTTCTTTTTGAATTTAGCTTTAATGAATTTCATTATTATAATATATCAACATAATAAAAAAATTGTCCAAACCTTACAGTTGAAGCCTACTTGCTACCAAACACCTGAATCCCTACAGGAAAACCTGTATAGGGAGCACCACGATTTGCTTTTCCACAATCTGAACTCTTGTCGAGCTCAAAAGTCAATCTCATGCCCTTGCGAGATTGTCAGATGGTCTTCTTCTTCGCACTCCTCAGCTTAAGATCGAAAGATGCTCGACACACAATCGAAGAGATATTTAAGGCATGATCTTGCATCCTGTAGCTTTTTCTTCCTCATTTGTTTGGTCGCGTAAGCACAACACCCTAGGTTCTCTCACTCAATCAATGCTCGTGTGCTCTCTCTACTCGAAAACTTTTTTTTGATGTTCACAAAAAAACTTCTTTTTGAAATTGAAGCATTGTCGGCCTTTGTCTTCAACTTCATTTGATTCCAAACTCCAGGAATTGTCTGTCATATTTCTCCTTCCCACGCTGACCCAACTGTAAGCCTGTAGTCAGCTACTTTTGTGCGGGAATGTTGATTTCTTATTTGACCTAGGCATTTGTGTTTGCGTACACAATAGCATGATGCATTGACTGCTCGACGAAACGCTTGTGCTTGGAAATCTGATGATGGGTACCATGCTGAACTAAATCTAACATTTGAATAACTTTATATAATCTTCCATACATGGCACAAAAAGGCCCCATTTCTGACATGCTGGATCTCCCTCTGTAGGGGCAACTCATGAAGGAGCTTATCTATTTGAAAGGTCTAAGTTTCTCTTATTTGTGGTTGTCGGGTGTCTGGTGTCGCTTCCTCGGATTTAGGACCATCTTGGACCACCAATGTGAATTCTGTTGGAGTCTCTCTTATGTCCTAAGCTGGAGCTACATGATTTTCTTCCTCATTCGTTGAAATCCGATCCTTCTCCTTTGTGTCATTGCCTCTTTCTTCAAATGCTCCTTGCTTAGTGAAATATATCATTCCCTAGTTGTGTAATCTGCTTTAATATGCCCAAATTCATGGCACTTGAAACACTTTCTGGCTGGGATGAATTTGGGAATGTGGATTGGTGCCTTTTGTTCTCCACTATGAAGTTGTGTCTCCTCGAGCTTGGTAAGCTCAGATGTTCCCCTGGATGTATTATGACTGTAAGATCTTGGGGTTGAACCTTGTCTGTGAGATGCGGTAGTTGCCCGGTGTGTCTCTTCACGTCTGAGCTAGGGTCTAAACATCCGGTCTGTGGTGTGCTAGTAGGAACTTGTGCTGCATCTTCTGTTTAATTTTGGATCGGGTAGTGATCTTGCCTTTTTCATCACGTTGGCGTTGGCATTTAGATTTTAACACTAAAATAGTGCACTCTTTTTTAGCTTGCTGGCGGCTAGCTTCACCATTATGTTTTATGGGATGTCCTGACACTCAAAGGCACATTCCAAAATCCAGAGCCACTCGATGAACTCATCTGGATCCATGTGTCTGTCGAAAAACGACAAATCGACCTTTACTTCAAAATTTTAGTTCCTCAAATATTTCAGGTCAAATCGTTGAGGTAGAGGTTCTTCATCATTAGAATCAACATAGTGGAAGAGATTCACTTCATTCCTTTGATCTAACAAGTCACCATTCTAGTTACGGGTGACTCATCTTGATTGACTCATCTCGAAAGTGGTAATAAGCCTCAATTATAGTTGGCAGGTTTCCCACTGCATATCTTCCCTAAAAATCTCTCGGACCTCTTTTTGTGAATTTCTCATAAACGACATCGTATACTTTCACCTCGACCAGACTTCCGACTTTTGATTCTTCAGTGACAGGGCTAGGTTTTGGGTTTGGGCGGCAAAATTGGGTGTATGGGATTGATTGTGAGTATGGAAAAGCTATTTAGGGTTGCTTGTTTTGAAAAGCAGCAAGGGGAAGTCAGGGTTGGGTCAAGATATGGATATGATTTGGTATGTTTAGATTTAGAAGGTGAAGGAGGCTGTATAGGGTTAATTTAGGGTGTAGAAAACTAATTTAGAGTTGCTGATTTTCAAAATCAGTAAGGGGGAATTATGGTTAGTGAAAACTGTAGGATAGAACCAGAGTTTGGCTAGCTTTAATATCAATTGATACCGGAGTTAACCCAAACAACAATAAGCAAAAATATTTTTCTTGGGAAAATCAATAAGCAACACAGATGACACACTGAGAAGGAAATAACAACGGACGCAGACAAACACAAGTAAAGTTGTATTACAAAAGGGGGTGGACGGTTGGTTAGTAAGGCTATTGGAGGAAGGGGGGTGTGTGTGTTTTTGGGGGCTGGAAGATGAGGATATATAGGAGAAACTGCGGAAAACACTGGAAGTGCTGTCCGACAGCTACAATGGGGAGGGAGGAAGGCATGTAGGCATAAACTAGATGACGGGGCTGCTATATGGCGGGGAAGGGTGGCAGGATGGTGTGGGGCTGCAGGAACAATACAAGTGTTGTTTTCGGGGGCAATTGCAACGGTTATGAAGACAACGAAAACAGAGAGAAGCTTGTTAATGATGAAAGGTCGAGGATAATCGCCATATCGGAGCGAGATACAACCGGAGCACCACTCGTCCTCAGATATAATCCTAAAAGAGAAAATTGGGGACACTGACAACTGTTCTGACAACACAACAAAACTAACCCTGATCAAGAAAAAAAAAACATATTAATACTAGTAGATAGCTAGGAGGCTGCGCTTTCTTGCTGGTTAGACTCTCCCTTGGCCCTGCTTACTCTTGCACTTCTACCGCTGCCGTCCTACATTTCCAGATTGCTGCCACCTTCCAACCACGCCTCCCGCTCTATAATAGCCTTCCTCACCTACGCCCATTTTGACTAGTTTTCCCACCCCCACTCCCACCTGCTTCCTATTCCCATCTTCCCAACCGGCCTCCTACCATCCACCCCCTTTGTGATACAAATTTAGTTGTGTTTATCTCCGTCCGTTGTTGTTATTTTTCTTTTCAGTGTAACTTGTACCGCCTATTATTTTTTCCAAAAATAATTTATTTTTTTTCTTGAAAAATAATTTATTTTTTTCTTATTATTGTTTGGGTTAACTTCTCTATCGATTGGTATCAAAGTTGGCTTAAACTAGTCCTATTCTAGTACTTGCAGTAGCTTGGCTGAACCAGTTTTGCGCTCTTCAGCCGATTCTTTTCATTGGAACTAATTGATATGTGCTTTAACTTGTGGGCGAGTGTTGATATAAAATAAGCTTAAAATAAGAAAGCTATCTATATTTGAAGAGTAGCTTATGTTTTGGGTGTATTCTAGAATATTGTGCTCATTCTCCTGTTATACATGTTGCCAATCTCTTAAGAACAAGACAAATATTGTGATAATTATCCAAGTTTCATTTCATTTCTTTTGCTAGCCTTTTACCCAGCTTTAACTTGTCCTTGCAAGTTTTATAAACTTGCAACAAGTGTATTTTAAAAAAGTGTATCGACCTAAATATCTAAACCATATTTAGCCCATTATCACTGCAGTATGTATCCTCTCATGTTCTTAGGTGAATTTTAAGGAAAATGGTGAGTGAAGATGATTGTGAAATACCTGCATGGTTTTATTCTTTTATCTGTTTATTACTGATTTTAGAGACAACTGATTAAAGCATTTTGGATTCAGGAGTACTCTTTTTATTTGGTTATTTTATTTTAATTGCTATTTGTTCGTATTTCAGGCAAAGATGTCCTTGCCAAAGCTAAGACGGGAACTGGCAAAACTGTAGCATTTTTGGTAATTTCTATATTCTTTTGCCTTGACTGAAGATTGTCTATTTGCTTTTTTTTTCTTCTTTTGATCCATTTAGTATTTCCATGATTAATTAAGGATTGTTTTGGTTTAAGCTTCCCGCAATTGAGCTAGTTACAAAGCAACCTCCACCTGATCGTGATAATAGAAGACCCCCTATCAATGTTCTTGTAATTTGCCCAACCAGGGAGCTTGCAGATCAAGCGGCTGCTGAAGCTTCAAAGCTGTTGAGGTATCATGCTTCTATTGGTGTTCAGGTTGTTATGGGTGGTACAAGATTGGCATTAGAACAAAAACGAATGCAAGCTAATCCATGCCAGGTTAATGCAAATTTTTCTGCAAGATATTTATACACACAGGCGCGATTTACAAATTTACTTTTGATTGTAATTAATTCACAAATTTTCAGGTACTTGTAGCCACACCTGGACGGTTCAGAGATCATATGGAGAATACACCTGGATTTACTTCCCGACTAACTGGTGTGAAAGTTCTTGTTCTTGATGAGGCGGACAGATTGCTAGATATGGGATTTCGGAAAGATATTGAAAAGATTGTTGCTGAACTGCCAAAACAGCGACAAACACTTCTTTTTTCTGCCACAGTTTCGGATGAGGTATTTTTTTATACGCCACAGTTTGGTATGAAGTATTTTTTTTCTAAGGCTCAAATTCATATATCTTATTTATTATTGAATCTATGTGCGATGTACCTAGGTCCGTCAAATATGCTACATTGCTATGAAAAGAGACAATGAATTTATAAATACAGTTGAAGAGGGCAGTGAGGAAACACACTCCCAGGTAATCGTACATATTTCAGACATGCCGTTGGTATGACTCAAAGGTGTTCGATTGATGAACTAATGGCTCAGATTGGCTTCTTGTTTCAGGTTATGCAGATGCATTTAATAGCACCATTAGACAAGCAGTTTTCAATACTCTATGGTATTCTGACTGATCATATTGCTGAAGATGTTGACTATAAGGTATATAATAGCATTCAATACATTTTCATATTAATTTTAGAGTTGTTGGTCTACATTCTACATCTTATTTCTGTGATGCATGCAGGTTATAGTGTTCTGTACCACTGCAATGGTTACAAAACTTGTGGCTGATCTTTTGGCAGAGTTGAATTTGAATGTTCGAGAAATGCATTCTAGAAAAGCACAAAACTATAGGACCAGGGTCTCCAAGGAGTTCAGAGAGTCAAAAGGCCTTATTCTTGTCAGTTCTGATGTCTCTGCAAGAGGAGTTGACTACCCTGATGTCACCCTTGTCGTACAGGTATTTATATTCCGCTCACTTGTGCATGATATTTTCAGTTTTTCTGCTTTTTAACTGTCATTTTTTCTTTTCGATTTTTGAATATTTTCATGTCAAACTTGTCCATCATCCCATCATCATTATTGACATCATTAGGCTTTAGCTTCATTGCAAGTTTTCTATTTTTCGTTATGAATCATTTTTCTTCATGCATTACATTTTTCTCTTCATGCTTTTCAGTTAGTTTGCTATCGTAAAGTCTTCATATTTATGGAAAAACTCTGTTTTCAAACATTCTAAAGGATTACCTATAAATTTAGGAATTTTGTTGGTTTTACGCTTTCTTTTGTCTTTGTTTTCACAATTTATTTTGATACACACTCGTAGTTCAGATACGGCTTCATTTCTCTTTTTTGACAAGCTGAATATGGCGTACATCCTATAATAGGACTATTTCATGTACTGCAGCTTGGAGTGCCTGCTGATAGGGATCAATATATACATCGACTAGGTAGAACTGGCAGGAAAGGTAAAGAAGGAAAAGGCGTACTTATTTTGGCACCATGGGAAGATTTCTTCTTAGATAACATACGAGACTTACCAATTGCAAAGGCTCCAGTTCCGCTTGTTGACCCAAACACCAGAAAGAAAGTGAGTATTCCAACCTATTCCATGGTTCCTGTGATATGTAATGATTTTTTATGTTTTTAAATATACTTATGAAAAAACAATTAAATTTGTATAATTGCTTATGATTTGGTGGTGAAGGTGAAAATGCCACTTAGTATACTGGATTCTAGTAAATAATTGCTTTCCATGAGTTTCATAGGATATGAAAGGAAGTCATATCTTGGGGGAAATAAAAGAATAAAGAAAAAGGATCCCACCATGCTACTTGGTAATAAGTGAGATGAAATGACAGTTCCAAAAAATTGTTGTTTGATTGTGGAGAAAATTATGTCTAAAATCATGGTAATGTTACCTACTTATATTTATTAGAATGAGAACAGAAGCAAACATATACAAAACTTATTATTTAAATTTTCAAATACATGTTAAACAAGCCCTAGATGCATGTGAGTAGTCAATCAACGGAATTTATCTCCAAAAAGGAAAAGCAGCTACTCAAAGGGTTATTTTCTTATATTTCCTAACTTTGCTGTTATGACATATCACCACTTGTGCTTATTCATCCCTAATTTTTCTTAATATGTTCTGAATTGCTCATCTCATTTTGAATATTATGATAATGGAGCATACCCATCTCTTTTGTTGTGAAAAGGTGGAGAGGGCCCTTGCTCATGTCGAATTGAAGAGCAAGGAATCAGCATACCAAGCATGGCTTGGCTATTACAACTCCATCAAAAATGTCGCCCGAGAGAAATCCAAGCTTGTACTTCTTGCTAATGAGTTTAGCAGTAGCATGGGGCTTGACAATCCTCCGGCAATCCCCATAATTGTTCTGAGGAAGATGGGACTCAACAATGTTCCAGGGTTACGTGCTAAGTAGATTTTATTGAAATACTTGATTGCCTTACAAAACTAGCTTAAGTTCATTAGCCCAAGCACAAATTTCTTCTTGATATCATGGAAAACCAGATTCTTATTCAGCATTAAAGGCCACTCGATCTTCAAGGTATTGTGAAATTCCAATGCAGCTTTAGGAGTTCAACAGATTCCAGGTTTGGGTTTTTTGTTGTTGTACAATTCCAGATCTGCTAATTGAGAGGTGAATTAAGAGAAATTTTTGAATGGTCATGTAATTCTATCATGGGTAAGCAATTTATATTTTCATTTATTGCCAAACATTTTATTGTGCAAAACAAGCATTCTATTTTCCAAAATATATTTATCGCACATTCATAATCGTTGTTTGTTATTATTTTTATCATTTTTTATTAATTGTAATATTTATTGATTTAATGCATGTCCGCAACCAGGGATATGCCGAATGCTGCTGCATATTCTTAATTTGATGAACTAACACTATTTGAGTTGCTGATTGCTTTGCGACAGGAGCCCAGTGCTTGCTTGTAAACCAAATTGTTCACCTCCATGTTATAATAAGCTTGTGCCTTAGTACATTTAAATTTTGATTGAGTTGATATTTAATAATCTTTACAAATTTCACCTAGCAGGCAAGTAAAGAGAAATATGACGGGGTAACTTCTAATTATTCTCCAACTTTGTATCATTTTTCTCTCTTTCTTTCTTGTTCCATGTCGTATGATATTTATTTATGGGTATTTTATTTTATTTCCTTTTTATCAAGACGAGCGCTGATCAAGATCTTGAAGAGCAATTCATCAGTTGGGCTTAGTTAGCGTTGCCAATTGGCTAAAGGTTTGTTTGGGGCAGCAGAGCTTGCTCAGTTCATTAATTTAGTTTTGCTATTGACCACTGATAATAGATGAGAGAGTTTCCAGATACCCCTAATATGATTGGAAATGCCGAGGGGCTAAATTTTCCCTCAAGTCTGCTACTTCATGCGGGTGATGCATGGCATCTGAACAACGCCTAAACATGGGTGCAGAATAGCACCCCGAAAGGGGGCACTCGTAATCGCGGGGCCGAAGCCCCGTGAGTCTAGCAAAGCCGCGCGGGGTCTCGCGATCCCGCGAAGAAAGGAAAACCCGCGGCGGGGAGAAATCACGAACTCTCACGATCCAATCAGGCTATTCACACTAGATCTTTTATGGGAAGTAATTTATGGACTCCTCTTCGCTTTTCACCTATCCCTTTTGTGTAGAAGTTTCTCCTAAGCCTATAAATAGCTGTCTCTGTGCATGTGGGAGTCAAACTTGAGTTGTGTTTGAGTTTAGCTTCAGATCTCCAGTTTGGAGTCTCTTTTTTCCTTTGTCTGGTTGTATCCTAGGAGGTGGTGGTGCTCTGGCGGTATCCTCTCGGAGGTGGTTATTGTATCTTTCCTTTTTGACCTTTCGCAAACCTTCTCCTTCCCTTTCCCAGCCGTCGAACTCTTCCTCTATCACCTCGACACACAATCATTCCCCTCTTACTCCTAACCCCGTTTAAGCTCCTTCTATCCACCCTGCTACTGCTACCGATCACCTAAAATCCGTTCCACTTGTTGTCTCTACGATTCCACACCTTTTCCCTCGTTGCCACTAGCATTTTGTCACTATCACCATCCTCGCTAGCCATCCGACCTACCTTGCCGAACTCCACCACCCATTGTAATACATGTAGGAGTGTTTGCTTGTGTCATTTTGTGTTTGTGTTGTTATTTTTTGTATGTTGTAATCTATCTTATTTTAATATTAATGAAAGTTTGCTTTTGTGTTTTCATTATTTTTCCTATTACTTCTGGTATTAGAGCTAGTTTATCCCCTTGTCCTATCCTAGGGCTTCACAACATCAACCCCTACCTAACTCACCTTCATCAAATTTTTCTTCAAATTCCTAACCCAGCCATGCCGCCAAGGAGAGACACACTGAAAAAATGTTTATAGGAGGGATATTTCAGTTGAAGATTCCCCTACCCAATTCGACCACTTGTAGATGAAATATGAATCGATAGAGCTAGAGGAACATACAATAGCCAGATATCTCAGGATGTTCAACAATGTGGTACAGTTGCAGCCATACTGGACGCTAAGAGATGTCCATATATTAGTTTTGAAGGTGGAAATGCAATAAAAGCAGAGTCAACAACAATCATCTTTCAATTAGCAACCTTCAGGTAGGCTGTCACAAACAATTATGACGACCGACAAGGATATCTTTAGAGACACAGGCAAGCCCGTACAAGGGAATGACACTATGGAACAAAGCAGGAAGAAACGAGGGAAGGGCAACTCCAGCATGGTGCCGACCAGGAAGTGCTATCGATGTCACGACCACAGCCACATTGTCTCCAGCTACCCCACGAGTAGGGTAGACACACAAATCAAGGCGTCGTAGAAGAAATTAGCCATGAAGAGAGCCGAGGAATTGGACGAGGAGTATCTGTTTTCCCCTGGATGAAGGAGAGGCGCTCTTGATTCGATGAATCCTACAAACCGAGGACACAAGGGATTCGTAGTGTCTGTGCCACAACATATTCTACACCTGCTGTACAATGAACAAAAATGTATGCAATCTGATCATCTACGACAGAAGCAATAGGAATGTGACATCGACGCAGGCGGTTGAGAAATTAGGATAGGCAACTCAGAGGCATTTCCAGTCGTATTCACTAACATGACTAAAGAAGGAGAATCAGGTCGGCATCGACCGAAGATGCTTGGTAGAATTTTCGATCAGAAGCCAGATGCAAGACCTGGTGTGGTGTGACGTGGTTCCTATGGATACCTGTCACCTTTTGTTGGGTTGACCTTGGCAGTATGACCGAAGGACTCAACATGATAGATATAAAAACACGTATTTGTTCTCCATGGGTGGAAAACACATCACCCTCCTTCCTACGATGGAGTCTGAGGTCAGTGGAACTAGTTTTAGTGAGAACACCAGACGGAAGGACAAGCCACTTGCCCTCTATATAGGAAAGATACGATCAATGTTACGTCTGGATGACACTATACCGACAACACCATTGTTGTGCGAGAAGGGTCTGACTACTCTCACTTTACACACAATTGTACCGATCATAGAATACTTTGGGAAGATTCACCAGTATAAGCGTTGTGCAGGACCTCAGAAGAACAAATCAATATGAACATTTACTCTCTAGATAGGGAAGACTCTTAGATATCATTAGTGGGATCTAGGGTGGCTGACAACAAAACGGAAGCTTCGACCAATAAATTCGAAACTCCCTCAACCTTGGGAGATTGACGTAGAGCGTCTGAAAGGCACCCTGTAGGGGGGTGTTCAAAACTGCGGGTCGAAGCTTTGTGAAACCTCACGAAGCCGTATGAGGTCTCGCGATCCCGGGAAGACGAGAGAACCCACAACAGGGAGAAATCACAAATTCTCGCGATCCAACTAGACTATTCATACCAGATCTTTTTTGGGAAGTAATTTCTGGATTCTTCTTGGCTTTCCACCTATCACTTTTGTGTATTAGTTTCTCCTAAGCCTATAAATAGTCGTTTTTATGTATGTGGAAGTTAAATTTGAGTAGTGTTTGAGTTTAGCTTCATATCTCCTATGTGGAGTGAGTTTTTACCTTTGTGGGGCTGTATCCGAGGAGGTGGTGGTGCTCCGGTTGTATCCTCTCCGAGGTGGTGGTTGTATCCCCTCTTTCTACCCTTTCCAGACCTTTTCCTTTTCACTCCTCTACCGATGAACTCACCCACCATCTCCCGACATCCAATTGTTTCCTCTTCCTGCAAATCATCACCGTCACCCCTCCAACCTAATTTTTTTCAAGCCCTTCCCAACTACCACACTACCGCCACCGACCACCTACAACCTTTTCACTTGTTGTTCCTATAGTTTTGCACATTCGCTTAGCTACCAACCACTCTCTGTGACTCCCGACATCCCTCCTAATCATTCCTATTCCTCTAGCCAACCTCCATCACCCATTGGGTAACATTTAGGGGTGTTGTTTTTGTCGTCTTATGTCGTGTTGTTATTTCTGTTTGAGTCATGTTGTAATCTTATTTTAAAATTAATGAAAAATTACTTTTTGAGTTTCCACTGTCTCTACTAGTTCTAATATCAGCTGGTTGGCTTAGATGTCTCTTTGTCTCGTTTCTGACAAAAAAAAATAGATTTAGGTCATTCGACCGTCTTCATGACTCATTTGGCTTTGACATTGTTTGCTTTGGCTCAAACGTTTGCATCTGATCAGATAAGTTGGTCACCTGGTCGTCTATCGGTGGCCCTCATTTGTTACATTCTTTCACTGGACCGTTAGATCTCTTTCGGATAAAAGCAGACACATTTTTTATGCACATATTTTAGTTTTTTTATTATCTTCTTGAAAATGACGTTGTGATAAAAGTAAGAGAACTTAATGTAAAATATAGATAACTTTTATTCTTAATAGGGGTTTTGAATTATTGAACTCTCTTGATTTTTTAGTCTTTGATTCTTATAAATAGGGTGTGGCTAGACTCTTTGACATATTATATTTTCTTTGCATATATTCTCGTATGAATCAGTTGACTTTCAAGTGTTATTATGAAGAACGCGTCGAATATTTTGATTGATCTCCCCAGCAAGGAAATGCTTCTTGTCACTGTAGGGAGATTGAGAGAGTTGTATCGCTTGAAAGGTGAAAAGAAGAAGACAAGCACTACTAAGAAGGGAAGCATCATATTGGTGGATTAGGTTGGGTTAGTTGATATGTTTCTCGGTCCTCTGCGGATGAACATTCGGGCGACTAACCTGATCATAGATCCATCAACTCAACCTTCTATTGTGTCATAAGACCTACCGATTTAACAGAGTGCACGTGAAGTTGCTGGTGTTCTGCCGCCACTCAGGATGGAAGAAGCTACTGGTGTTCTGCGGTTGTCTAGGACTTGAGTTGTTTCTGCTGTTCTGTCGCCTCTTGGTGAGGGCACTATATCAGTTACATCGTCTGAGTGGGATCGACTCTTTGGTATGCAGACTCTCGGTCTTACTTATTAGGTTTGGATTTTATTCTTGATCTCATTTTCTTCATTTTTTTTTATGCAACTAGTTCATTGGACTTAGATGTTGACTCACCTTCAACAAACATTGGTGGGAATCCAATTGCATTCCCATCGGTGGCTGTCAAGAGCCGGCCATAAGCAGGTGACTTTCAAGCAAAGATGGTGGGATTGACCTCCTGGGAAGTCCTTATGTGGCTTGCGGGGAAACAACTAATGGACACTAGACATTCCCTGGGTAGTTGACTTGCTGCTCGGATGAAATCGAGAACTCATTCGCTTGGTTGTTTGGGATTTAATAAGAGAACAAGATACGC